TAAATAAATAGATGTTATATGTTTTTATCAAAGCAAGAATTGGCATTTAGAGGGCATATGGAATATATTGGATCTAATAACAGAGGTAATTATATTGAACTTGTTTATTTATTAAGTACGTCAGATAAATAATCTATTAAAAATACATTTAAAGACAGAATTAACTGATTGCCCCTGGAAGTCGGCTTCTTATAGAAACACAGCTTCCCTATCATCAAATGTCACGGCACGCCACTGAATAACTATGAAAAAAAAGAAAGATGGCGGCGCCCGTACTACCGATAGTATCGTGATGGAGTGATCTATGATTTTAATTAAAGTATGCGTTTTTAAAGACAAAAGAAGAGTCCTAATTGTAAAATTTAACCATAAAATGGATTATCTTGCCGGCAGAGCATTCAAAGTAATCACGAAAAAAATTAGAATGCCGGCTACCATTGAAAAAAAATCCGAGAAGACACTTACATCATCGCCTGCAGTAACTTGCGTTTTCACAACTTCTAAAATTTCATTCATAAAATCACATAATAGACACCGAAACGAAACTGCTTGAGCCATGGAGGACACCATGTTGCTTTCCACCATAAACTACTACTACAGTACTACGAGCGGTCGTTTTTTGCTGTCCAACGGTGCGCACTCCGGCCGAAATATAGAAACGCGTTCCGCAGGAATTTTTAAACGGATGTCGCTCGCGCGGAGTTATGCGGAGGAATAAAAGAACATATCCTAGCTGTCTTACGGAAAATCATACCTATCTCAGTGTTTCAAAATCAAGTCTGAGTGTACACTTGTTGTGATTAACTCGAAGTCCGTTCCACTTTTGTGCTTCTTTGTAGACTTAAATATAAAAAATGTTCTTGGTAATAAAAGTTGACTCAATTATTTCTAGTAATATTCGTAATTGTATATGGCAATGAGAAACATGAGCGATTTGCAGAGAGAGATGTCTCTGTGGAGGTCTTATGGGAAACTTGTCCCTATTTAGGTGTTATTAACGTAAAGAAAACTCGGAAAACTACAAGTGGTCAACCCATTGGCGAGGCGCAAACCCACGACCGAACTATCAGTGAGTTTTGATCCCATGCCCCTCGGAACCAGGCCTTAAGCCTTACCGCCTCGGCCTCATATTTATGTAATCCATTGCGGGTTAGCCCCGAATAAATATTACATATCATAATTTATAAATTTGTGACGTTAATAATGCAGTTGTATTATTGAAATTTTAAGTAATTCCTTTCAAAAATGCGGCGAATGAAGTCTAAATCATTTTTTAATTTTATTATTTCAACGTTGTTAATAAAGAAATAAATTCGTAGATAAGTTTGGCGTATTTTGGGCTATTCAGGAAATTTGCGACAGCTCTCCTTCTGCCGAAGTTTTGGAAACTTTTATTTATATTTCAATAACAGTTCATTAAAATATTTACTAATTAATTTATCAAATTTTAATTAAAGATTTATCAAAATAGAAAAAGTTACGAATTTTGTTGCATAATTTTATTTTAAAGTTCCCCCCCCCCAAACACGCTCCAAATCGGCGGAAGGTTATCGAATTTGAACAAGATAAAATTTGAAAATAATAGAAAAATAAATGATAAAAAATATTAAAACATTTAATATATATAAAAATTTACTTAAAATTATGTGAATTTACACAAATAATTTAAAATAAGTAAATCATTTTTATATCTCTATTTTACCGCGGAGGGATACAACGTATCGTCGTCCAGTCTTGCAATTTGGTTTGGTGTAGAGAACAATGAGGTACGTAAGAGCTTTTTCCCGACGAAAAATTAACTAGCGAATCTATTTAACCCGATTGAATTTTATATTATCGATTAAGAATGGTGTAAAAATCGACTTTATTAACGAATTAACCCTATAAATCGAAGGCATTAAGCGTAATTAACTTGTAAAGTCGGACACGTGTTAGGCCTAGTGGCCACCATAATGGTGATGCCTTTTTACTTTGAATTAATCTGTATTTTTTACTCGTAAGCTTAATGATTGAGTAAATATATGCTACGGATTAATTTATTAATGTTATTTACAGTTCTTTAAGACTTCAGAAGCGGTTGGCTGCTGCCGTGTTGAAGTGTGGACGTAATAAGGTCTGGTTAGATCCCAATGAGACTAACGAAATTACAAATGCTAACTCGAGTAAGTACATAATTTTATTAATTTAACATTAAAAACGGTATATTTTTGTCACACTTTTAAGTTCGATGTTTATTGTCTTGATCACGTGACTTTCCATCGTCGTGGGTTGGTCACGTGACGGATTGATAGGGTTTTTTTTTTATAAAACGTGTGTTAAATCGTTCGATTTGAATTATATAAACAACTTTTTCTTTTCAAATAATTAAACCAAATATAATACAAAGAGACATTCTGCTAATTTCTTTGCATGAATGTGAGCATTTCTGTTAATGCATCAAAGATGGAATTCTTGGCAGTTTGCTTTGTGCAGCTGTATAGACATTTGTGTAGAATTATTAGATGAACAATACAATATATTAAGAGTGGTAACGGGTTAGGAAAATGTGTGGGCAGTCTGATTGTGAAAAGATAGAAAAGTCTCTTATATCGATCACTTCATGCCATTTGCAGTCCATTAATTAGATGGGGTCTAACTGGGTTAAAAAAAATTGCATTTTCCTAAACTGTTACCACTGTCAAACGTTTACAAAGTCTCTATGGAAAGAATCAACTTGGATATTAACTAATCAGCATCAGCCATTGATCACTTAGTTGTGGCAAATTATTTCCAGTTTCTTACTCATTTGTTAAACATGTCACCATCATCATAAACAATGTTATAGGGATTTCACGTTCTTTTATTGGAATACTAGCAGACCCCGCCACGCGTTGTTGTGGTTCAAAACGTATCTAATATAAATTTATAACACTTCCCTGTGGGGGGGGAATTTTTCGAAAAATTTCTTCTTAGTGTACATTCTGTTGACGTACCCTATTAAAACGCGAAAAAACCGCATCTAAAATAGTATAAATAGAAGCAGAGTTCTTTATGATAAGCCTTAATCCTAACCATCTCCCTTCAGTGGGGGGAATTTCGACACGTATATTATATAAAAACACGTGAGTATTCGAATGCAGCGTTGTGTCAAAATTTCAAAGGAAACGGTAGGAACAAACGAACATTACATTTTTATTTATATAAATAGATAGAAGATGATCTGCTTTAGTTCATCCTCACAGAAAAGCAAACTTAGGTCGTCGTACTCGTAGCGCCATCTGTTGGACATAAAAGCCTTAACCNAATAGAAAAGCATGATGTACAAGGACAATACACTATTCATTTGAGGTGGAGAACATATATATTAAATTAAATAAATTAAAAATATGATTAAAAATTGCAGCCTGGTATTGTGACTTCATCATAATGCTGGGTTGCAATTTTTAATCACATGTAAATAATCACTTGTTCCATCAACAATGTAACAAAAATCACATCTGAGAAATAAAGAACATTGAAGAGCTCATAATGGAACCTGAAACGAATCTGATGACAGAAGAACGCCAAGAACTCTTGAATGAAGAACACCAAGAAACTCGATACGTAACCTCTTTATAATATTAGTATAGATGAGGAGTTCATTATAGTAGTTGTTAAATGCATGATTCGTGGTTCTGCCATTTAGTGAGAGAAAGTAAAATTCACACATTGCCTGACATATTAAGCAAAAAGTACTGACATCATTAGAGAATGTGCTAATTAGTTTAATGAATTTCATTATATGTGACATTAATATCAAGTTGATTCTTTCCACAGACTGGTTAATAACATTAGCTAATTAGATTTATTTTTAAGTACAAGGTTAGACTCTCCATTTATTGGATTTTTTTTTTTTTATGTGAAATGATGTTTGTTATAAGGGTTGGATACAATTAAAATAGCAAACAGGTTTCATTTCTAAAATAATATAAGAAAAGAATACTGAATAATCTTGATCTAAACTGGAGCTTCCCTACAGGATCGGTATCAACTCTTAGGGGTCAATCAAAAGTTTGAAAGTGGGACTATGAGAAAATTAAAATATATACTGTGCATGCATATGTAATATTTTAGTATTATTTAGTTATTTAATAAATTTAAATTTATTGATTTTCTAAATTATTTAGATTTTTAAAATTATATTAAAGAAATAATTGTGTGTGTGTATTTAAAGGAGTCAATGGGAAAAGTTGCATCCCTGATCTAACATCTATAAATATCTCAAAACCTAATGTTTTTAAATTAATTAATTAATTAATAATAAACCAAACAATCACCATAATGAATCAGGTTTACTGCAGCTATTAATAATTAATTATAATAATAACCCTGATCTAAATAAGATTAAATGAACATAAATATCTTTNTGTCCATTTCATCCGTTGGCGTGGTTTTCCAGCCTTTGTGGTCTGTGGATGCATTGCCACAGAAACACCAAGGCTAGGTTGATTCCTCACATCTGTTGAGGGCATTGCAGTAGCCATGCTTGGGCCGGCGCTGCTTTCGCCACCGGTAACCAAGGAAGACTGGAGCCTATTTTTCGAACGTGAGCCTCTTCCTAACCCACGAACTATTATTATTCTACATATTCTAATTCTTATGCTTTTATTTAAAAATAATATATACTTACTCTGTCTAAACAAACTGTTAAATTTTGCATATTTACAACTTTCCTTAAAACTGGATCAGATTGACTTAATTCAATAAATGTCCTTTCCCATTTCTCATTGGCATTAAAAAGTTCTGCAGATTTTATATTGAGAGATAAAACAATATCATCTTCCACATATTTTAAGATTAAATTATTGCACACTATGCAGATGTTATTAATGACTCGACTAATGAGACTCTGTACATAACTGGAAGGCATTTCACTATACTCCTGTTTACGCAGTTGCTTTCTAAATGAATTTCCCAACTGTTGTTGACTAGATGTTGCCTTGGCACTGCTACTGTCTGTGTTTTCATTTTCAGTTTTTAATTTCAGAATGCATTCTATCGTATTTATCGTAATCACAACAGGCTCTGAGGTAAGTTTAGTCCAAGGTACATTGATGCGCAATTCATGAATGTGTCCATTTACAAATGTAAATGGTAGATTTAATTCTCTCTCTAATACATCTAATTTTAAATCTAAGTTATTAAATACAGCTTCTCCTCCCCAAAGAGATAGCTGAAATTATAAGAATTAAATATATTTATTTGAANATATTAACTTCTAAATTTTTATATTTATGAACTAACATAATTGAAATTGAAATGTTATGATGTGTGAAAAATTCCTCTAAAAAAGTTGTAAAACAAGCTGAGCTGTTTTGAAATGTTCAGAGCAATTATGTTACTTGTTGTGTTTAGACAGGATCAATGCTAGTTTATACTGCCCAGACAAAACATTTGATGTCCTTATCCTCCTACATAAAAAGAAGAAAGAAAAATTGTTTTAAAATGAATTCCATAACTATTAAAAGTGGGAAGAAATTTTTGGATGTTTTTAAATTTAAATTTTATTTAAAATAATTTAATTTCATATATACTATGATAGTTACTGTTTGTTAATTTATGAAAATTTGCCACCTTGGGAAAATGCCCAGTTTGCCCATGCAGTAGTGTTGGCCTGTGTTTAGTGATAATACATAGACTCATTGTTGAAATACAGCATTTCCATAATAAACCAAACAATCACCATAATGAATCAGGTTACTTTACTGCAGCTATTAATAATTAATTATAATAATAACCCTGATCTAAATAAGATTAAATGAACATAAATATCTTTTAACTTGGTTTTTTAACAAAATTGTTATGTTTATCATCGTCTAATCTTAAAAGATAAGTGAAATCAACTTACATAATGTTCTTGATACTTATGTTTAGTCAATAAAAATTAAAATTTTGGTTTATTAAATGAAATAAAAATCCCATTTACTCATGTCCATTGTGAGATTGATTGGGCCCAAAATGGAGGTGGTTGTGATCACTGAGGCCAGGGCTTAATATATTTACTCAGACCCTTACTAAAAATTTTTAATGTTTTCCTCTGCCTGGGTCTTTCCCAGAGTAGAAAGCTGACACCTTAATTGCCTCAGTTGCATTGCCTTTGTGATTGGAGCAATATAAGCATTATTCTGACACAAACTATATACAGGGTGTCCCAACGAAAACAAAACGGCAGAGATATCGCGTTCGTCCAAGCAAATCGCTCGGACAGGTCGATTTTATTCTCAAGGGGGACATTTTCTGCAATGAAGTTTTTGCGATTCTGAATACAACAGACAACAAAATTTTTAAAAACTTATTCATTTTTTATTAACTAAACAAACATTTATTTCAAATAAAGTAACACAAACTATTAAAAAACATAAAAAAACCTTTTAAGCTAGACCGCATATGCAAGGAAAAATAAGTTGATCATAAAATTAAGGTTGATAATGTGTTATCTGTTTCCAAATGTTATAATACAGTATTTTGTAGTGTTCACATTAAGCTTGACCACATAGTGATTCGATTCGAATTTAAGATTATTATTTGTTTTGTCGGGATAAAAATCGTCTGGCACACTTGTTTTCCCGCGCTTTTAGTTGTTCGACAGACGATGTTGGTCGCCATAGGAACGCTACTCGGACAACATCTGAAGACTCGATTGCTCATTAGTTAAAAGACATCACGCCATCTGCGGACGTCTTGGAGAGCTATCAAGCAAAATAGGAGATTACCACCTAGGAATAAAAAATGAATAAGTTTTTAAAAATTTTGTCTGTTGTATTCAGAATCGCAAAAACTTCATTGCAGAAAATGTCCCCCTTGAGAATAAAATCGACCTGTCCGAGCGATTTGCTTGGACGAACGCAATATCTCTGCCGTTTCGTTTTCGTTGGGACACCCTGTATATTTGTTTTTATAGTAACATGTGGGTGACCTCCAGGAGAACTTTTTAAAGTAAACTAGCTTCTATTTTGTTGTTACAAACATGAAGAAAATCCAGAAAACTCTATAAAGCTAGTCTGTTGATGACGTGCAAACCTATGGCCAACTACAGTCCATTTCAAAATTACAAACACCCCCAACTTTTTTCAATAACAAAAGCATTAACAATAGTAATGTATTTATTATATTATGTTGTTTACAACATCAATTTAAATACAGTGGGTATTCAGTTAACGAACAGTTTTGCAAAAGATTTTTATGTTTGGACAACAAACAACTCACAAACAAGAAGAAACGACATAAAATAATGAATACTGATTGGTCTTCTCTTGTCTTCAGGCAACAATTCGAAACTTTGGCATGGGTGACGTCGACATCAATGCTCAACCCGGTATATACTGATCGAATAGTACCCCTCCAAACTTTGAAACTCTCCCTTGTAATTCCAGCCTTTTATTTTTCTGACAGAAACAATCTTTTTATATTATTTGCAAAACTGTCAGGTGGGCACTCATTAAGTTTTGTGTCTGTTTTTATTTTCGAAAGATGAGATTATAGTAGCAAAGGTAAAGAATGGGCAGATATCTGATGTACTGTATGTTGTTGCTGGGCAGTATGGCTTTAACAGGTCTATAATAGGCTGCATTTCAATGTTATCTAAGAAAGATACTGTATTATCAAGAAGACTCAAGCAGCTTAAGGAGTAAAAAAAATTGCATCTGAGAAATAAAGAACATTGAAGAGCTCATAATGGAACCTGAAACGAATCTGATGACAGAAGAACGCCAAGAACTCTTGAATGAAGAACACCAAGAAACTCGGCAAGATATGTTTTCTTCTGAAAAAGAGGATTAATGTCAATATCTGCTATTAAACGTTTTTTTTTTTGAAGAAGTTGGATGATGTCAGAATGACAGTCTTATAATGGCATCCAAACCAGGTTCAGGTTATAGGCTTAGGGATCTCTACAATTACAATGCTATTTCTGAAAAATCTTGAAGAGAGAAAAACAATCAACATTAGACAGATTCTTTAATCCCCACAAATAGAAAAAAGCATGACTAATAAAAATGCAAGACTGTGTATATATGTATTTTTACTTTCTTCGTAGACTGTATATATCAACAAATAATACAACTCTAAAACCTTTACGATACAGCCAAATTTATTATCCCAATTCAAACGTTTTCGGACATCTTTAATGCCCTTTTTCAAGAACAAAGTACCATCGTACTAACTGCAATCGAATACTGGCTAATTTGCATAAACGATAACTGCGTTTTGGAATGCGCATTTAAAAAATTTTTTAAATGCGTGTTCCAAAACGCAGTTATCGTTTATGCAAATTAGATAACTGCGTTTTGGAATGCGCATTTAAAAAATTTTTTAAATGCGTGTTCCAAAACGCAGTTATCGTTTATGCAAATTAGATAACTGCGTTTTGGAATGCGCATTTAAAAAATTTTTTAAATGCGTGTTCCAAAACGCAGTTATCGTTTATGCAAATTAGATAACTGCGTTTTGGAATGCGCATTTAAAAAATTTTTTAAATGCGTGTTCCAAAACGCAGTTATCGTTTATGCAAATTAGATAACTGCGTTTTGGAATGCGCATTTAAAAAATTTTTTAAATGCGTGTTCCAAAACGCAGTTATCGTTTATGCAAATTAGCCAGTATTCGATTGCAGTTAGTACGATGGTACTTTGTTCTTGAAAAAGGGCATTAAAGATGTCCGAAAACGTTTGAATTGGGATAATAAATTTGGCTGTATCGTAAAGGTTTTAGAGTTGTATTATATGTATTTTTATTATTACATATAAATAAGCGTAGTAAGAAAGTATATATTTTTTTATTTTTGGGGGGTCTCCAGAACGAATTAATCAAATTCCCATAAAAACCTACAGTAAATCGATAATTGGTTAATGAAAATTTCGGATAGCAAACAGTCATGGAATGGATTATGTTCGTTAATTGATCGCCCACTGTATTTTCTGAAATTTTAGAGCAATCTGACATTTACCAAAAAAAAAAATCATCACAGGTTTTCAATTTTTGATTATTTCAAAACTATAAACACAGGTGCACAAAATAAACGATTTGTGATGTCTCAATATTTTGTAGGTCCACCATTTGATTTAATTAATTCAAATACTCTATCAGTCATACATTTTAATAGTTTTTGAAGTTGTTTTTGTTTCATTTTCCCAACAATCCATGATAGCAATACAGTGTTGTATTGTCTGTTTTGGACATAAACAAGATGACTCATAATGCCCCAAACATTCTCTATAGGTTTTATATCAGGGCTCCATCATGGCCAATCTTTACATTAATTTTTTTTTTTTTTCAGCAAACCAAGTTTTAGTTGACTTTGATGCATGAATGGCAGTATTATCCTCTTGAAATTTCCCCCAAGAAGTGATCCAAAAGTTAATAAATTTTGATACAACAGTTTTTGATACTTTTCTGAAATCATTCTACCTTCTATAAATACAGTGTCTATTTTACTCCGCCCCCATCCAAATCCTGCCCATATTATCACAGAGACCACACCTTGCTGTCTGCTAATTCTGACTTCTTCGTTCCTCCTCTATCATGCCAGTAGTGACTATAACCATCAGGTCCATTCAAATTTCATTTTTATTATTATTATTTGAAAAGACTATTTGTTTTCACTCCTCTTTCCATGTTGTCTTCCATCCATTTTAATCTAGCTGTTTTGTGCAATTGTGTTCATTTCAGTTTGACAGCGATTTTTGTAAATTTGGCATTTTTATGATTATACATGTATCTGCATACAGTTGCTGGTGAAACTGCTGCAGTTGGAAATGTTTATGCTGATTCTCTGACAGACAACTTGCTGACT